GGATCACAGGCAGGGTTTGGGATCACAGGCAGGGTTTGGGATCACAGGCAGGGTTTGGGATCACAGGCAGGGTCGGGATCAGAGCCCAGCCGGGGCTGGAAGGAGGATCCCCGGCTGATCCCGGGATTTGGGGGCTGATGGTTCCAGCTCATTAACAAAGATCCTGGGATTTCCTGATCCCCATCCCACATCCTGCGGTGTTTCCCGGAAATCCCCTTTCCCAGAGTCCCAGAGATGATGAAGATGAGGATGAGGAAGAAGATGAGGATGGGGATGAAGATGAGGATGAGGATGAGGAGGAGGATGAGGATGGGGATGAAGATGAGGAAGAGGAGGAGGATGAGGATGAAGATGAGGAAGAGGGTGAGGAGGAGGATGAGGATGGGGATGAAGATGAGGATGAGGAAGATGATGAGGATGGGGATGAAGATGAGGATGAGGATGGGGATGAAGATGAGGATGAGGAAGATGATGAGGATGAGGATGAGGAAGAGGATGGGGATGAAGATGAGGATGAGGAAGATGATGAGGAAGAGGATGAGGATGAGGATGTGGATGAAGATGAGGATGAGGATGGGGATGAGGATGAGGAAGAGGATGAGGATGAGGATGAGGATGGGGATGAGGATGAGGATGGGGATGAGGAAGAGGATGAGGAAGAGGATGGGGATGGGGATGAAGATGAGGATGAGGAAGAGGATGGGGATGAAGATGAGGATGAGGAAGATGATGAGGATGAGGAAGAGGATGGGGATGAGGATGAGGATGAGGAAGAGGAAGAGGATGAGGAAGAGGATGGGGATGAAGATGAGGATGAGGAAGAGGATGAGGATGAGGAAGATGAGGATGGGGATGAAGATGAGGATGAGGAAGAGGATGAGGATGAGGATGGGGATGAAGATGAGGATGAGGAAGAGGATGAGGATGGGGATGAGGATGAGGATGGGGATGAGGAAGAGGATGAGGATGGGGATGGGGATGAAGATGAGGATGAGGAAGATGATGAGGATGAGGAAGAGGATGGGGATGAGGATGAGGATGAGGAAGAGGATGAGGAAGAGGATGAGGATGAGGAAGAGGATGAGGATGAGGATGGGGATGAGGAAGGAGCCGGTGGCACAGGGACACTGTCCCTTGGGATGGGCTCTGGGCGCTCCCGGCTGCCAGGGATCCGTGTCCCTGTCCCTGGTGTTGGTGACACGGACGTGGCCCTGGGCATGTGGCACCTCCTCACTCGTGGCTCTGGCTGGGAGCTGCAGTTCCTGGCTCTTCATTCATTATGCAAATTATGTAAATGATCATTAATGATGCAGGACTTCCCTCTGCTCCGAGCTGGGACAGGGGGATCCTGGGGACAGCGGGAGAAGGGACAGGGGAGGGGCTGTGATGGAGGGGTTGGGATGGGGGCTGGATGTGTCCCCGTGTCCCATCCCTGTGTCCCATCCCTGTGTCCCATCCCTGTGTCCCTGTGTCCCATCCCTGTGTCCCCATCCCTGTGTCCCATCCCTGTGTCCCATCCCTGTGTCCCTGTGTCCCATCCCTGTGTCCCCATCCCTGTGTCCCATCCCCGTGTCCCATCCCTGTGTCCCCATCCCCATCCCTGTGTCCCTGTGTCCCATTCCCAGGATCCAGTCCCAGGATCCATTCCTGGGGTCCATTCCCAGTATCCATTCCCAGGATCCATTCCCAGGATCCATTCCCAGGATCCATTCCCAGGATCCATTCCCAGGATCCATTCCCAGGATCCATTCCACGGATCCGTTCCTGGGTTCCATTCCCAGGATCTGTTCCTGGGTTCCATTCCCAGGATCCATTCCCGGTCCCTGATTCCCGGTTTTCCCGCAGGGATCGAGTGTCCGCGGGGTGCCCGGAACGTTCCGGGGCTGGCGCAGGAGGGGGAGCCCTTCAGCGAGGAGGCCACGCTCTTCACCAAGGAGCTGGTGCTGCAGCGGGAGGTACGGCCGGGGGATCCGGGGGGATCCGGGGGGATCCAGGGGGATCCAGGGGGATCCAGGGGGATCCAGGGGGACTGGAGGGTGCGGTGATACCCAGAGATCCCAGGGATACCAAGAGTATCCTGTGGGATCTGGAGAGATCCCAGGTGATTCTGAGGGATCCCAGGGGATCCCAGGGGATACTGAGCGTGCCCTGGGCAGATCCTGGGGTTGGATTCCGGATGGATCCCCCTGTTCAAAGCTGTTCCCGTTAACTTCTCCGGATACTGAAATTCCCGGGATTTCCCTGATTGCAGCTCCAGGGTCCTTCTGGGTAATTGATCCCCGATCCACATTCCTGAGGTGGATCCCAGATCCCTCCCCCGGCTCTCACCGGCCCCTGGGCCAAAATTCAGGGACCGAGGCTCCCATCCAGATGTGGGCACAGATCCAGATGGGATTTATGGATCCAGATTGGGATTTATGGATCCAGATGGGATTTATGGATCCAGGTGGGATTTATGGATCCAGGTGGGATTTATGGATCCAGATGGGATTTATGGATCCAGATTGGGATTTATGGATCCAGATGGGATTTATGGATCCAGGTGGGATTTATGGATCCAGGTGGGATTTATGGATCCAGATGGGATTTATGGATCCAGATTGGGATTTATGGATCCAGGTGGGATTTATGGATCCAGATTGGATTTATGGATCCAGATGGGATTTATGGATCCAGATTGGGATTTATGGATCCAGGTGGGATTTATGGATCCAGGTGGGATTTATGGATCCAGGTGGGATTTATGGATCCAGGTGGGATTTATGGATCCAGGTGGGATTTATGGATCCAGGTGGGATTTATGGATCCAGGTGGGATTTATGGATCCAGGTGGGATTTATGGATCCAGATGGGATTTGTGGATCCAGGTAGGATTTATGGATCCAGGTGGGATTTATGGATCCAGGTGGGGTTTATGGATCCAGGTGGGATTTATGGATCCAGATGGGATTTATGGATCCAGGTGGGATTTATGGATCCGGATGCGGCCATGGCTGCAGGCACAGTTGATGCAGATGTGGACGCAGCTGCAGTTTTGGGCATGGATCCAGATGTGGGCAGGGATGCAGTTGTTGCCATGGATGCGGATCCAGATGTGGCTGCAGATCCAGCTGTGGGTGTGGATCCAGGTGTGGGCGTGGATCCAGGTGTTGCCATGGATGCAGATGTGGCAGACACAGGTGCAGGTGTGGACCCGGATGCAGGTGTGGATCCAGCTGTGGCCCTGGATCCAGGTGTGGCTGCAGATCCAGATGTGGCTGCAGATCCAGATGTGGGCGTGGATTCAGCTGTGGGCATGGATCCAGGTGTGGCTGCAGATCCAGAGGTGTTGCCATGGATGCAGATGTGGCAGACACAGGTGCAGGTGTGGACCCGGATGCAGGCGTGGATCCAGATGTTGGTGTGGATCCAGATGTGGGCAGGGATCCAGATGTGGGCAGGGATGCAGTTGTTGTCAGATCCAGCTGTGGCCCTGGATCCAGCTGTGGCAGCAGCTGCAGGCCGGTGGTGCCAGCTGTGGGGACATGGGAACACAGGGACACGAGGATGTGGAATGCTGGGAAATGGGGACACGGGAATGCTGGAACACGAGGAAATGGAAACACGGGGACAGGAGGACACACGGACACAGGGACACACGGACAGTGACAGGACACAGGACACACGGACACAGGGACACACGGACACAGGGACAGGACACAGGGACACACGGACACAGGGACACACGGACACAGGACACACGGACAGTGACAGGACACACGGACACAGGGACACAAGGACAAAGGGACACAGGGACAGGACACACAGACACAGGACACAGGGACGGTGACACAGGGACACCGCAGCCGTCCCTCCCCGCTCAGCACCCCGCGCTGCCGGCAATTGCTGACCCGCATCCCAAGGGTTTGGCTCCGCTGCCTCGGCACATTCCGGAGCTGCACCTGCCCGGGAATGGCGGATGGAGCCGGAACATTCCCGGGAATGCTGTGGCAGGAGGACACGTGGGAGCCGGAACATTCCTGGGAATGCTGTGGCAGGAGGACACGTGGGAGCCGGAACATTCCCGGGAATGCTGTGGCAGGAGGACACGTGGGAGCCGGAACATTCCCGGGAATGCTGTGGCAGGAGGACACGTGGGAACCAGAACATTCCCGGGAATGCTGTGGCAGGAGGACACGTGGGAACCGGAGCATTCCCGGGAATGCTGTGGCAGGAGGACACGTGGGAGCCAGAACATTCCCGGGAATGCTGTGGCAGGAGGACACGTGGGAACCAGAACATTCCCGGGAATGCTGTGGCAGGAGGACACGTGGGAACTGGAACATTCCCGGGAATGCTGTGGCAGGAGGACACGTGGGAACTGGAGCATTCCTGGGAATGCTGTGGCAGGAGGACACGTGGGAGCCGGAACATTCCTGGGAATGTCGTGGGAGGCCGTGGGAAGGGATGGGCTGCTGCCCAGGAACGTGGCGGAGGGGAGGCCACGTGGGACTCGGGATGCAGGGATTTGGGATTTGGGATGCAGGGATTGGGGATGCAGGGATTCAGGATGCAGGGATTCGGGATGCAGGGATGGGATTTGGGATGCAGGGATTCAGGATTTGGGATGCAGGGATTCGGGATTTGGGATGCAGGGATTGGGCATTTGGGATGCAGGACAGGGATTCAGGATGCAGGGATTGGGGATTTGGGATGCAGGACAAGAATTCAGGATGCAGGGATTCGGGATTTGGGATGCAGGGATTGGGCATTTGGGATGCAGGACAGGGATTCAGGATGCAGGGATTGGGGATTTGGGATGCAGGGATTGGGGATTTGGGATGCAGGAACGCCGTGGTGAGGCCGGGATGCTGCCCGGGCCCGTTCCTGGCCGCGGGTCGGGGTCCCCGCGGTTCCCACGGCCGCGTTCCCGCCGGCAGCCGATCCCTGCCCACCCCCACAGCCCTGGGATATTTTTATCCGGCGGCTCCGGCTGCTGCTGACTCACGGGCCCGGAGCCGCCGCTGACGAGCCGGCCCTGCCGAGCGGGGGTGCCGGGATGATCCCGCGGGATCGCGGCTCCCGGAGACCCCGAAAGGGCCCAGGGGACCCCCGGAGCCCCTCGGCTCCGCAGGGACCCGGCGGGAGCCGCCGATCCTCCGGGAACGCCTGGAAACTGCCCCGGAGCCCCCGCTCCAGCCGGAGCTGGGAAATCCCAGCCTGATCCCAACCCCAGCCTGATCCCTGCTCTGATCCCAATCCCAATTCCAGTGCTGATCCTAGCATTGATTCCAACTCCAATCCCAACCCTGATCCCAATCCCAAGGCCAATCCCAGCCCTGTGCTTGGAGCATCAGCCATGTCCCACTGCATCCTCCCACATCCCATGGATCCCATCCCATGGATCCCATCCCATGGATCCCATCCCAGGATCCCATCCCATCCCAGGATCCCATCCCGCTCCCTCCCTGATCCCGGGGAGGCACCAGAGCTCCAATTCCCGCTGCCGTGGGGACTCCCCTGACATTCCCCAAAAATCCCGGGATTTGATTTGTCAGCGTTTGCCTTCCCCACATCCCGGATTCCCGCCCTGATCCAA